GGAACTGACCCTGTATCCTAGGGATTGCACTGTTTGATTTAATTTCCATGTATACAGGGTCATGGTCTGATGTCATTGTCGTTATAGTTCTGACATTGTCTACGTTGTGTATGTTTTTGGTCATCGCTATGTCAAGTGTGCTTGGCGTGTTTCCGTTGAATGGAAAGTAAGTTGGCTCCTCCGGGTAATGAATGATACAGTCTTCGCTCTCGGCGAACTCGTTCAAAACCCTTCCACTGATGTTCGGTGCTGTGCAGTTCGCATCTCAGTAATAGTGTTTACAGTTGAGATCCCCGAACATGCAGACTCTATATCCTAGTGAGGTTATGGTTGTGAGTTCTCTTTTACTGAAGTTATTTTTGGGAGGGTTATATATACCTATAAAAATTATATTATTTGTTTTAATGATTATATGCTCTTGCGTTATGTTTATGTTTGAGATTTGTTGGTATTCCAGTTCTCTTTTAATCAAAATTGCTACCCCTCCCCAACTCTGATCTGGTCGGTCTTGTCTTAAGACATCATACCCTTGTATTTTAAGTTTGTGTGTCTGTGCGTAATGGGTCTCCGTAATGAGCATGATGTCAAAGCTATGTTTGAGAATGAAACTGCGAACAATTGCGGTTTTGTTGCGCATCCCATTTGCATTGTAAAAGCAAATTTTGAGTTTGTCTTTGTGATTATGTAGTTCTTAGTTACGTAGGTTGAAGTTACTGTCGACATTTGTCATGAAATGATTATATGTTTCGATTAGTTCTTGTCCAGTTTTGCAAAGTCGTATTTGTGCGTTAAGTTGCCTTACCGCTCTAGCTAACTCACCTATGTTTACGAGACTATTCAATTCTGCGAAAGCTTCATTTAGAGAGGTGACATCGGCTGTGACTGATCCCTGGGACGTTTGTCTCGGATTTTCCATTCTGGGGATAGCAGTAGCATTGTTTGTCCTTGGATTTGGCCTCTGTTCTCGATCGGGTAGTGCTGGGAAGTCGTCTAGTCTTCTGTTACTTCTTCTGTTCGCCCATTGGTTAACCGCTGGTGCGGGGGCGGGTACATATTTAGTTGGTTGGGGTCTCTTCGCACGATTGAGTTCTAGTCTTTCAATTCTTTCTGTATAGCTCTTACATTTCGTGTAATTGGCTGGGTGATCACCTCCACAATTCACACAGGTAGCAGGGGTGTCTCTGGTTTTTAGACATGTGCTGGTGTGGTGATCACCCGCGCACTTTAGACATTTGGGTTGTCTTCCACAGTTGGCTGTCGCGTGCCCCCATTGTTGGCATGTATGACACTGAACTATCTGTTTAACGGACTTTCGCAGTTCCCAGACAACTCTGGTGTAGAGCACTCTGCGTGCATTTTTGTTTAGATAGTCCAGTGTCAGGGAAGGGTCGGTTATGACTAGGAACAACGGCCGGTTTTTCGTATTCATACGATAGATGGATCTTGCTTTAATGTCGTATTCTTCAGTTAAGTCTTCATCTATATCCTCAATTTTTGTGCCGTCGGCTAGCCCCCTTAAGACGAAGGCGTGCGTCTTTTCATCCCTATTAGAATAAGTATGGTATGGGAGTTTTTCAGTTCTGATGCTCTTTACCATCTTTTCGTGGTCCTCTTTCTCTTCTAGAAAGAGGATCGTCGACGTGTTAGTATGCTTTATGCTGAATTTTTCCGTTACTATACGTTTAATGTCCGTTATTAGGGAGTTTTGGCTCATGGTCTTCCCGTCAATTATGATTGGTGGCATGTGATTTTTGGTTTTGGGGGTTGTGGATGCCTTTTTTTGGGTGGTTTTAGTGTTTGAAGCATTATTTTCTGCTAGTATACTTTCAATTGTTTCTTCCGGTTTTTTATATTTTTTTTCATTGCTTTTATCCTCCCGAGATTTAGCCTCTTTTCTCTTTCTTTTGACTATCCTTCCCAGGTCGTCATCATTTTCCGAGTCAGAGTCATCGGTTAGTGCTTGAAATCTATTTTTCGTAGTGGTGAGAGTTTTCTTTGTTTTTTCCCTTATTAATTTTTCAAAGTTCGCACTAAACTTTCTAGGGGTGATAAAGGGTAGATTGTTGGACGCATTGTCCGTGTCCATTTCTACTTGTTTTATAGGGCTGTTTTTAGACCTGAGTAGGAAGGTACTGTTGGGCGAGTGCGGTAGATTTTCGTCTCCTTGTTTGGTTTGCTCTTCGGTGGATTTTTTTTCCTCTTCTGAGGTATTATTCCCGGATTTGAAGTTGAAAATCGACTTATCAATGTTCGATGGGAGGTCATTGCTTCGTATGCCTATTTTTATTCTGGGGTCACTCGGGATATTGTACATTTTTGGTACGGTTCCTGTGTTTTTATTAGGTATATTGTATATTCCTTTATAGGCTGGGTTGTTAACATCAAACTCTGCTACTGCGGGTAAAAAGCCGAATCGAAAGCTACTCGATCCACCCTCGACCCGGTTTGTCTCCACAGTGACATTGTTCGTGTTATTCCGTGTTATGTTGCTGGTTTGTGTTTCTGTTGGACCTATTGCACCTGAGTTTTTGGAGTTTGGGCAGTTATCATCCCCACTTGTAGGGGTGGTTCCTGGGGTGAGGGTACTGCCATCTGACCGGGGTGAATCCAGTCCAAAGTCTAGTTTCTTGGTCCTAACGTTTTTTGGTAGAGGAAGAGTTTTGTATGCGGATTCGAATTTTTCTTCTCTTTCTACATACTTTTTTTTCTCCAGAAAAGTTGGATTATTTTTTTTGAATTTTTTGGTTTCGTCCTCGGATTCGTCTAGGTCCATTTCTAGAACGGTCCCATTTAAATTTTCTCGGCTGTGGCACTGTCAGTCGGCTTCACCGTTCAGTCGTCCGTCCGACTAGATCTCGCAAGTATCTACATCGAGTGAATTGCTGTTTAGTACGTTATGCACAGTGGAGGGTCCTGTTATTGTCGTCGGTATATGCTCAAACAATTGTGAAGACAGCCGTGCTTTCTACGCACGCCGTCTTCCCGATGTATGTTGATGATGCTATCCCTCAACTCATCGGGGAGGCATCGCGCGTAGAAGTTTTCGGCTGTTAAAGTAATGAAGTCCTTCATGTATGGAATATTTGTAGTAGCGTGCATGTCTCGTATTCTAGTGTAGCGATCGCACCCCAGAACTAGCCTCAGACATCTGTTTTGAGCGTTTTGTAGCTTATTATGGTGTATTTGTGCCATGGGGCAAAAAACTGGACAGCCATAAGTCAGTATCGGTCTAGACTGATTTGTATAGTAAAATCTTGTTAGACAGTGTAACTCTGCTGCGTCTATTCATGAGGGGTAGAGAGTCCTCAGAATACCGCAGTTTTTCGTCACCCTGTCCACAATATGTTGACGAAACGTTAATCCCCTATCCAGATAGAATTCTAAGTATTTTATAAATGGTTTGGCTATGATTGGCTCGTTTTGGACTCGAAGGGGCGTGTCTATGCCTTCAGTCCGCCTCTTTGTAATGAGAATAGTTTCTGTTTTCGATGGATTGATTTTCATTTTATTGTTGTCTAGATAGGTGATTAACAGTCCGTTTATATGACTGTCCAGCTTCCTGGTGGCTGTTTGTGCTGATGAATGACTGGAAAATAAACAGATATCGTCGGCATACAACGCCGTTTGTACACCATTATCACCCATGGGTATGTCACAGGTCATAATCGTGTACAAATGCGGCGAAAGTACTGAGCCCTGGGGCACTCCCGCCTGCGCTAGGAATGGTCCTGTTATTGTGGAGTTTATCTTAATGCAAAATTGTCTGTCCGTTAAGTATGAGTGTATTATTTTTACAATATGCACGGGAAAATCATTCACAAGCATTTTGTGTATTAGCCCACGAGTCCACACGGTGTCAAAGGCCTTCTGACAATCCAAGGTTACTAGCACGGTTTGAAGGTCGTTGTTGAAACCTTCTTTCGCATGATGTGCTATACGTAAAATTTGAGAAATAGTGCTATGTTCCTCTCTGAAACCGTGCTGTTCCCGTGGGATAATTTATAAACGTAGTTCTGTTTGCTTAAGTTGAATCAAAATTACAGTATCAGTTATTTTAGCGATCGTATTCAGTAAGGAAATGGGGCGGTAACTATCGATCTTATTGGCCGGTTTGCCTGCTTTGAGTATTGGTAAGATATTTGCCATTTTCAGGCCACAGGGATAGTATTGTAGCCTGAAAATGGCATTTATTAAATGGTGGAGCTGCACGACAGCTTTTCTACTTAAATTCTTAAGTAGAATATTACTGATGTTGTCCGGTCCCGGAGCTTTTCTATTTTTGAGACTCTTAATTACTTCACACACCTCTTTTGGGGAGGTAAAAAAGAAATGTGGCACTACTTGTGGTTCCGACTGCTGCAGCGCATTTACTGCAAGTTCAATGCGCTGTTGTTCAGGGGTGTTTACGTTATCGTTGATGAAGTTAGACTGAAAGTATTCACCGAAGGCTTGGCATTTGTCCTTGTCGGTGGTAAGTATGTTAGGTCCTTGTTTCATTGTGGGAAGCAGTGGGTTCGGTTTTTTAAGCCTTTTCACCACTTTCCACAATGAATTGTCTTGTGGTTTGAGCTCAGATAGGGTGGTTTTCCATTTTTTATTTCTGTAGTCTTTAATCATTGTATTGATGGTCTTGGCTATGCTATAAAGTAGTACCCTTTCTTAGATCCGTCTCGATGAGACCATAAAGTTTATGTAAAATAACTTTTCAATTGTAATTAAAACAACTGTTTATTTTACTAAACGAAAAACATGGACTGTATTAAGTTAAATGAATATAAGGTTTATAGTAAGAACAATGAACTAACGAAATAAAAATGAAAATGTCTATTGAGGACTTCCCGTTGTCGTGTTCGACTCGTGTCTGAGCTTGTAAAAAACCGCGATTGTTTTTTAACCCGAGATGCGCGGGAAGGGTGGTTACGTAATCGGCACAAGCCTGTGAACTTTTTTGGCGTTGCCACGTTTACGAATTTTACTTAGACACTTTAACAGCCCCAAAAGACGAATATTCCAAGTTCCTGTATGAGTGTATCAAGGACTCCAGTGGGATAGAATTCTCAAGCTCGTGCGCAAAATAGTGACATCAATCCAGTGCTACAGTGAAGTTAGTTCTCCGACCAAGGTACCTAAAATTAAACTTTAATTAATGATATGATCATATCCAAAAGACAAAGAAAAAGAATTTAAATAAGTATTCTTAAATCTAATAAGACATTTTAATAGATAGGTTATATTTAGTTTTATATTTATAAAGATAGTACTTACCATGATGTTAAATAACATCTTTATGAATTATTGTCATTGATATATTATAATAAAGCTGAGTGATTATTAATATAAGATCTAACCTGTAGGTAGCAGGAAATTAGAATTTCAGTAAATAATTATAATTTTATTTTAAAATATATAAAAAAACATTATATGAAAAATGTGACGACATCATAGCACCACATAGTTTTACCTTTAGTTTTAACTTTTACGTCAATTTATTTTAAGGTTTCTTAGTCAGTTTTTATTTGAGGTTGGTCAAGTGTCAATGTCAAATAGTACCATTTTAATATCACATATATTATGATCTTGGTCGATAGCTGCGTACACTAGCACCCTACTTATCCGATGGATGGTAACCATGGAAACAGAAAACAAAAAAATTGATTGATTACGGATTTCGAAAACTCATTTTGGCCTAATTTTGGATCTCAAAAATTCTAAAATACGCGATAGTGAAACTTCAATAGATTCTATTGGAATTTTTTTTTATTTTAAAACTAAAGGTAAGACTATGTGGTGCTATGATGTCGCCTTTGACTTTTACGTCAATCTATTTTAAGGTTTCTTAGTCAGTTGAAGTGTGCTCGTTCGGGGTCACCAATTGTAGGTAGCAGGAAATCAGAATTTCAGTAAATAATTATAATTTTATTTTTAAATATAAAAAAAAACATTATATGAAAAATGTTGTGTCGAGGTACGTCTTGTCTTGTCTTTTTCGAAATCCGTAATCAATCAATTTTTTTGTTTTCTTTTTCCATGGTTACCATCCATCGGATAAGTAGGGTGCTAGTGTACGCAGCTATCGACCAAGATTATAATATATGTGATAGTATAATGGTACCATCTGACATTGACACTTGACCAACCTCAAATAAAAACTGACTAAGAAACCTTAAAATAAATTGACGTAAAAGTCAAAACTAAAGGTAAGACTATGTGGTGCTATGATGTCGCCACATAACCACATTTTAGTTGTAGAAGTTTAATACAAATATATGACTGTTGAATGTCTGTCAAGTCAAATGTTGAAAAGTTTTGACAGGGAAGATGCGTCAAATTTGTACATAATAATTGATTTTTTTTACTTGTATTGCTTTTTTTTATATATGAAAAAGGAAAAGCATTTAATTTATTTAATAGTTAAATAAATATAATAATGTTATGGTGTGTTTTAATCATAATAATACATTTTAAAGAATTATTTATTATTAATCAAATTAAAAATAAAAAGCAGGCTGCCCCATATACGAATAACTGTTTGAACCCTACCTAGAGATAAGAGAGTTTGCTCTAAAAATATTTTAGTCAATAGTAAGTTCTGTCTATGAATACGCTATCCGGGAAGATAAAATAAATAATTGGTGCTCATATTCTTTTAAAATATATAAAAGATATGGTTTCATTTAAGTCATATAAAACAAACCATATCAATATATACCTATTCGATTGTTAGAAATTTTTGAACAGTAAACAATTTTTCTAGTTGTTAATTATTGATCCAAATAGATAATCTTGAATGGTAAATACTTTTAATGAAGTAAAGACGATGGTTTGTTCGTTAGTTGGTAACATTGTTGAATTTTTAGACAGAGCAGTAGAGTATGACTTATTATTGAAGGAAGGGTTTTGGTTTTCATTTGAACTCGTTACAGTTGTTTTATCGTTGATTGCTGATGTGGTATTGTTATCCATTATTTATTTTATTTTTTAAAAAAGTAAAAAGTTCTGCTTCATTTGGACTGAGTGCGTCCCTGGAAGATGACCAGAATATGTAAAATATAACGAAAAATAATACCAGTTTTTATAACTGAAATTATTAGTGTTCCTAAATTTAATATTTTGTAGCAAAACTGATCTATTATTTTATTTTGAAATAAGGAGCCTAAAGTAAAATATATTTGATTCGAAAATAATATACCGATAAAATCTGTTACTGATGTACCACAATCTGTAATAGATACAGTTTTAATACCTATTATCTTTAAAAAAAATGGATTTGAATTAACTGAAACCTTTCACAAAATATAAAAAACTACAAAAATGAGACGACTATAATTGGCCAAAAAAATTATCCACCATATTAAGAGTAGACCAAATGACTCTACTAAAAAGAGTAGCGTAGGACACTTATTTAAGTGAAAAATGTTGCTTTTGTAAAAATGGTTACTGTTGCGTTTCACTACCCGAACTACCTATTATTGTTTTCACGTAATCAAAAAATTTTAATAGACTTAATTTATTTACTATCTTGTATGTAAGGTGTGTCAAAATGCAGAATTAAAATTTTCTCAATTTTTTAAATGGAATATCCTATATGTTATACCACCAATTAATTAATACAGTGAATTACATTTAGAACATTTTTAAAAATGTGTTGATTTGGTCAGCACCTCGTTTATGGACCACTCTGTATATTCAAGAATATTTGGTAAATATGGTTCTACAACTTTTATATTAAACATTTCTTCATATTTCTAATAATAAAAGAGCTATCGATCAATTAAGCACTGATGGGACACCCTATATATGTATTATTACATATTGATATCGCTGTATAGGAAAATGTAAGAAGAATTTTATGCTTAAATAATATACAAGCTGTTGTGTTTAAAAAATTTAGTAAATTGAACTTAAAATTAGATAAATTAGACATATTTAAGAGATGTTTCAAAACATTCTGTATAAAATAAATCAATTCTAACACCACTATTCTTAGTATCTTGAAAGTGTATTAAACAATTTTGAAATCAATGCAAACCTAAATTATGATAATTTACTTTGGGGTCAGCATCATTCACTAATTTAAAAAAAAAAAAAAATTGCTTGGCAATACTGGAATATTATTTAAACATTTTCTAGGGTTGCATATAGTATTAGCTTACAAACCATTATAAAAATAAAATACACAATGTTCTATTTAAAAAACATACATTTTTATTCTCCGGGCAACAGCTTGTATATTTAAAAATATTTTTAAAACATTTATTTTTCAAATCCCTATAACTTTTATTTAAAATTTTTTGCGTGTCTAACACAAATGGAAATATTGAACAATAATGCACTAATGGGACACCCTTTAAAAAATTTTATGTACGACCGTTATAATGATCGTATATTAATAAATAACGTGTATTTTCTCTTATTTGCCTTTTGTGAGCAGGTTATTATAAAAGAAATTTACTGTACCGCCCAGCGGTAAAGTAGTCCGCGGGCGATAAAGGGGCACTTTACGCTTGCTTAACGTATTTATAATCTGAAATTTATCGCCTGGTCGTGCATAGATATTTCAAGATTAATTATAATTTCTTCACCAAAATCTCGGTCGAGTTTTCAAATAAGAATAACATCTTTAAATGAGAAATGCTAATATTTTCTGGAAACATTTATTTTTTTTGCGTACATAATTAATATATTTATTTTTTTTAAGCGATAATATTTCGTATTATCACATATGAAAGGTTATTAAGGTTAAATAACAACTATTATTTGGATAGTCGATTTTAATTTAATCCATCAAAAAGTTCAATACATACCAATTCCGAATCTACACTTTAGTTTTTTCTTCTAGCTATGTTGCAAACTACAGGACTTGACGCAGCGGCGTATATTTTTTTAGGTAAAGTATGTTTTAGATATAATTTAAGAAATATTAATTTGATAAATTTCAGGATTCGTTCATAATATATATTTGCCCAATATAATTATTAGTCAAGGAAACCGCACTTGTAACGATAAAAAAGAAGTAAGTTGAATAGTTTGGATAATTTACTTATTTTGCTTATAGTAGGTTCAAAAAAATTACAATGCAGCTAATTTAACAAAGTAATTGGGATGCTCTAAAACAAAACACTGAATATGACCTTGCAAAAATAACTGAACATGGCCTTGCAAAAATAATTGAATGGTTTGATTATTGCATAAAGAACTATAGTAGAATAATCGCCATGTAAAAGTTATTGTAGGCAATCGCGCCTGACATCTATTGGTACAATAATTCAACTGACAATTTTTATTTGCTGGTCAGATATGCCCACTGCTTCAGGTTTTGGAACTCTAGAGCGACAATTCTGTCGAATTAATTATCAATATTTTTAGTTATTGAGATTAAATATAATTGATAAATAATATTAGCATTTCACAAGTAATTCGTCTAAATTTAGAAATAAATCGAGATTTTAATGAAATTACAACCAAATTGATATTATTAGTATTAAAAATTAACATAAAATTCTATGTATCAATGAGGGAGAGCTTAGTCCTCGTCTTTGATGCGAGGGTGCTGGAGTTCAAACCCACGAGAAAACAAACTTTTTTTTGTTTTTGTTTTTTATTTTATTTTAAAAATTGATAAAGTTCATAAATTATTTTCAAAAAATTAAATTTTATGTTAATGATATATAAATCGTCGTGCTCAAATTTCGTCTTCGAGCAATGGCCACTCGCGATCATCAAATTGTATAAGGTCCAGTAGTTTTTTTTGAAATCTTGAGACAATGAATAAAATTATTTTAAATATACCGAAAATAATAAATATTTATTTATTGTTAATAAATTTGTATTAGTTATTTGTTAAAAGAAAATTACACTATGTTGGGTTTGAATATACAGTATTTCGCAAAATGTCTGCATCAAGAAAACACGAAATAACATATTTCTTTAATCTACGTTTTTAAGTGCAAATTAAAATTTAATAATTTTTACTGAAAACTATTAGATACATGGTTATTCATTATAAATTATCCATCCTTTATACCATAATTAATATTTTTATTTACTGAATTTTATTAAAATGCCATAAAAATACAGTGGCCACATCAATGGCGTGAATATTTTACAGGATATAACAAATAGGATTTTTAAATGGAATAGCCTATATTTTATTCAATTTTTTTCTTCTTCTTCTTCTTCTTCTTCTTCTTCTTCTTCTTCTTCTTCTTCTTCTTCTTCTTCTTCTTTTTCTTCTTCTTCTTCTTTTTCTCCTTCTTCTTCTTCTTCTTCTTCTTCTTCTTCTTCTTCTTCTTCTTCTTCTTCTTCTTCTTCTTCTTCTTCTTCTTCTTCTTCTTCTTCTTCTTCTTCTTCTTCTTCTTCTTCTTCTTCTTCTTCTTCTTCTTCTTCTTCTTCTTCTTCTTCTTCTTCTTCTTCTTCTTCTTCTTCTTCTTCTTCTTCTTCTTCTTCTTCTTCTTCTTCTTCTTCTTCTTCTTCTTCTTCTTCTTCTTCTTCTTCTTCTTCTTCTTCTTCTTCTTCTTCTTCTTCTTCTTCTTCTTCTTCTTCTTCTTCTTCTTCTTCTTCTTCTTCTTCTTCTTCTTCTTCTTCTTCTTCTTCTTCTTCTTCTTCTTCTTCTTCTTCTTCTTCTTCTTCTTCTTCTTCTTCTTCTTCTTCTTCTTCTTCTTCTTCTTTCCTTTTCTTCTTCTTCTCTTACTTCATTAATATGCCTACTACAGTTTTCTTTCAACAAATTTAAAAATTGTTCATATTCGTGGCGGTTAGAGGTGTCAGACTTTTTTGGCAACAGATTTTCCGTTGTTTTCCTCTGCTTTTTCTATAATTTCGTCAGGAATTTCAAAATCTGCGTGCCATTTGACTTTTTACTTTAACACACTTGTGTGCATAGAAATCGGCCCACTGTAAACTTTTGACTTTTTTTTTTTTTTTAAATTATTCAAGATCAAAAAAAAATATGCTGTTTAAAAGATAATTTAATAGGCTTTAATGTTGTCTAATAATTAATTAATAACAGTAACGTTGTATAATAATTAAAACAAAAAATACATATTTAAAGTCAAAAATCTACAGTAAGTATACATAGTGTCCCGAAATTAGACGGTCACATTTTAACATCCTAAAATAGGGGTAAAAGTTTATATAAACATAGGTCCGAAAACGTTTTCTTTTCCGAGATACAGGGTGTTAAATGTGAAGTCATGATGACATTCTTTTGTAAATATTTTATAAACGTTTAAAGGTAACAAATTTGAAATTTAGTACAAATGCTTAGCTTTTTACGCTCTATTTAATAGACTAAACCCCAGTTTTTGATCATCTTCATAGGTGGGTAAATTAGAGTGGGCTTAGGGTAAAATTGCCCTAAGTTTTTTTTTTGTTGACAGTTTTTAACATTTTTTGACTATAACATTTTGAAAAACCCAATGTTTTCTTTATAATAAAACTACTTTTGTTGCATCTTGCTAGGACGCACCATTTTCAAGAAAAAAAACATTTGAAAATTTTATGATAAGTTATTCAAAAGTGTAATCAATAATTAGTAGGCTTGTGAAATTAGATAATTTATTTTTTTTTTACTTTGAAAAAACCGGTGACTAAGGAAATTTTAGAAAATATTTACAAAAATGTGCCATCAGGACTACACTTGTAACACCCCTGTATCTTGAAAACGAAACGTTTTCGAACCTATATTTATATGAACTTTTATTCCTTTTTTAGGATGTTAAAATATGACCGTCTAATTTCGGGACAACCCTGTATATAAATTATTTATGATATTACGTTTGCCAGCATTCACCTAGCAAAAACAGTGTCTACTACGATAAAATGGCAATGATAATCAAACCGGATTTTTTTAAAATACTGATTTGTATTGTAATTGCAATAATGAACTAGTAATGACAAAAGTGTGTGTATATCCTCGGGCGACTTACAGACGTTTGCCCCTCAGGGCATAAATATCTATTTTTACCCTTGATACATAAGTAGGTATATAGTTAATATAAATAAATCTTAAGGCTGTATGTCACGATACTAAATTAAGTACTAAATTTAGCACTAAATTAAGTTATTAATTTAGTACTAAATTTAGAACTAAAAATTTTTTTTTCCGTTTGCAACGATAACCAATTTTTAGTACTAAATTTACTATAGGCGCACGCGCATTGACGTATTAATACGTAAAATTAACAGAGAAATAAAATATTATGTGCTAAAACAGACAAGTAAATGGTGTTTTTATTATCAATTTGACACTAGTTGACTTGACAACAACCAAATACAGCATAAAAACCACGAAAAAAACACAATAGAACCTACAAAATCAAACAAGCGAACTTTATTCAAGGCAGATAATGTAAAATTGTCCGCTAATTAAAAATAAAAGGATACAGAAAATACCGTCCGTGTCAACTTTTTCTATGAAAAACTTCTGCGCAACATTTCGGCGCACTTTTAGTACTTAATCTAATGACTTTTTTTAGCACTAAATTTAGTACTAAATTTGCTGTTTGCAACGTGAATTTTTTTAGTACTTAAAATATGCATTAATTTAGTTCTAATAGTTTAGTACTTAATTTAGTATCGTGACATACAGCCTTTAGTTAAAAGGCGCAGCATCAGCATAGCTGTTCTTCCTCAAGTGCCTCCATAAATAAATAAACAACCCAGAACAAAAACAAAACGTTCATTGAAAGTGCCGCACAAAATCACTACTACTGCATTGCTCATTGAATAAAAATTAAATATTTTCTTTTTAAATGTATGAACTGTTACAAAGAAAAACACGTCCCGGTGAACTGACTAGATTTTGGGGGGAGTCGGAACATTTACGTTTGAAGACACAAATTTTTAAACTAAAAGTTACATAAAATATTATTATCTATAATTTTTGTTCTATACAAAATTTTCTTAAAAAGGTCCGTTTTCGATAAATTTGACAAAATGTAAAAAAATATTTTTTTATAAAAATTGTTGAAATAAAAGTTGTTTGTAATATAATTCTCTATAATTTTAATTTTATACATAATTTCTCTAAAATGGACCGTATTCGAGATATTTGAGAAAATGTATAAATTTCGAATTTTGAAGAAAACTCAAAAACGGATAAAGGAAAAAAACATTAAATTTTAAACTTAAGTTTTATTTCGGCTTGAGGTGAAATGATTAGGTTTTGGATGAAGGCGGAACATCTGGGGGGTACTTTATGGGAGGCCGTTTTCATGTTTTATGGAATATATATTATAGAAATATGTGTCGAGTTAGATGTATGTGGAAAATGTATATATTTAGTTTATCCTCTGAACATTTATAGAGGTGCTGCAATAGGTTGTACAAAATAACCGGAAAAAGCCTATAATAACTAGACAGGAAAGTCATGTGTTGGGCACATCAGATTTTTAAATTTATGATTTTGTCAGTTTCAGTGGCAATTGATGATATATAATTATTATTATACCCAATGTTTTAAAAGGCTACACCAACTAGTGGACTACGTTTTTAAGTCACCCAAATAATAATTTCAAGATTTTACTATACAGGGTTTTGTGCCAAAACCAAGTCATGTATTTCAGGTTTATTTTATAATTTGGTACATCCAGAAATTCAAATCTTTGTGTTAATTATTTTTAAAATAGTAATTTTGTGTTAATAACCTTTAAATTACTTTTTAAAACATGGTAGATTTTCTTTAGTGATTCGTAGAAAGATACTATACAATATTATACAATTCGAGTGGTTTGTTTGCATCGCATTGAATACTTTATTGAATTTTTGTAGATCGTATGTTTTGAAAGTAACACGAAACCGAACATACCGTAACAAAGTCAGTCTTCATAAAACTTACGTTTTCTAATAAAAAATGTAGTATTCTCTAATCAATCCCTTTATTATTGTTTTTGAAATTGTAGGGGTTCGTTTTTTGAACTATATATCCTTAATTCTGAAAAAATATTTGCATTATTTTAAAAATTTCCTGTCAATCATACGTATTTCTATTTATTCAAAAAATGCAGACAGATAGTTTTTTATGCATTTCACGTGTAATACCTACGGGTGTTGTTTAAGATACTGCATTTATAAAATATTTTTTACAGGAATTCATGGTCGCTATAAATGGATGTTTTATTAATGAAACAGGTCGTAGCGAATTTAATATGCATGGTTACCCAAATCCTTACAAATCAGTACTGAAGAAATGTTCTGTAATGCCTCAGTTAAATGAATGCTTTAACAGTCGTATATCAATATATCAAGATTGTTTAAATTCCACGCACCGTAATGGAATTGAAGTATGGAAAAACATAGATAAGGAAGTTACTGCATACGTATGCAACGATAATGCTCAAATCGCAAAGGGTAAGTGATTTCAAGCTATTGATTGCTATTACTATCATTATTTCAAGAAGTTACAGCATTTATAAAATATAATTTAAAAATATACAATAGATTTTACTTGATAGCTAACCTCCTTACCTCCTTGTTTATTATAGTTGACTGTATGTAAGGTATCTATTTTCAAAGGTCTGCAGCATTATTGTGGTGGGTCTAGAATATTTTTATGTTTCACACTATATAAAGCAGTACTGGATTGACGTTGTTTAAAAAGTTTTTTGTTAATTGAATGGAAACTTTGATTTTTACCTTGATTTCAATACTTATTTAAGTATATTGAATGCCCTTTTAAGTCTTCTTGATTTTTCCTTGGGTATGTGTTTCTGTCTATTAAACTTAATAGGTTAAGGCACGTAAATTTATTTACTTTCTTCATTATCTTTCTTTAAGCTTAGTGGCCTATTTTATTGCTTTCTACTTCATACAAGCAATTCTTTTTCCTTCTTATTGCTTCAATGTTTTTAGACATATTGGCTTAGGATTTATATTCCGTTTCGAATATGTTGTTAAACAGGTATCATCAGGCCCGCGCCGTATATATGGGCAAAGTCGTGTGGTGCACGACAGCGCCGAGGCGCCGAAAAGCCTCAAAAGTAATAAGAAAGATAAAACAACAAACAACATTCTCAAAACAAAATTTATAATAATAATAAAAAAAGTAAGGAATTTGCTAGCTATTACATTGTCTTTTATTTGTTTATTATTTTATTTTTACTCATTCAGACGAGGGAACCGAATTTCTTAAAAATAATATATTTTCCAAATAAGAGTACGCAATAATAGCATTTATTCGATTGAATACGAAACATGATAACATTATTGTCTAAACTCAAACAAATTGGATTTTATTTATGTTTGAACTTGAAATTTGGCTTGCAACGCGCCAACGAGCAGACAAGCATTTTTTCCTGTCTGAATTTGCAATGTACGAAACTTTATATATTAAGCGCTACATCGGACGCGATTTCATTTGTTGACAGATGCGCGATCGATAATTAACTTAGCGAAGTGGAAAGGTGCATGAGATAAAATATATCCTTTTTTGAAATTTTAGTTTTTGTAGTTTTACAGACTTGTATTTTGTGTTGCGAATTGTGAATTAAGGTGAGTTCATCTAAAACTTATTTTTTAATTTAGATTTATTAAAACATTAAAAGCCAAAAATCATTTTATATATAATTATATAAACATCATTTTTAGTTGAAGTAAATTCAAACAAAACAATTGATAAGCACTAATATTACTATTTATAAAAATTTATAATTTTTTTTTCTTTGGTGTACGGCTTCAACATTTAAGGTCATTAGCCTAGTGTTCTATGTAGGTTATGGATTGTACTAGTAGTCTAATATTCCATAGTGTAGGAGTATTAGTATTCTAATACTCCTACACCCCTACAGACAGGCCTTGTTACTGTTTTCTTGTGCTACTTTACGAACAGCACTGAATTTATAAATTTTGAAATAAGTAATGTTGAGAAAATACTTTTGAGTTTAAGACGTCGAAACATTTCCATTTTTCATGAATAATTTGTCAATTTGTTTAGTTACGTATTAATTTCTTTACAGTATACAGGATGTCAGTAAAAAGAATAAATTGTCTGAATACCAAAATTTGCTGCATTTTTTTTTTTTAAACTTAGGACTACTTTTCCAAATATTAATAACAACAATAATACAGCTAAATCCCAATATTCTGAACCTGTACTTGAAACAAGTATCAGCAGCAGAAAAGAAACTGGTCAAGAAAGCAATCCATCTACATCTTCAAGTTCCGCTGATTATGAGAAATCAACACCTTCAGAAAAATTACCAGAACGGAAAATATGAGTCAACTTTCGAAAGATGCGGCACTATGGCCAAAGAAATTACGTCCTAATAATATTCAAGAATTAGTAGAACGTGGCCTTGCTCATTATCAAAACAAAAAGAATATTTATCCATGATATAGTTCGTTGTAAGTTTAACAATAGTTACTTCTTTAGAATTTTACCGTACAAAGAAAAAAGTAAGCGTTTTTGCTTGTTGTATTCTGAAACAAAAAAAAATTCACTTTACTGTTTAGTCTGTTGTAAAATTTTTAATGACAGCGATTTGAAATCTGTTCGCCTTGGTAATGAATCTGTTTAGAATGACTGGTAGCATTTAAGTGAACATAAAAAGAGTAAGTTACATATCGAAAATATTCTAAAATTGCTAGATCTTCCTAACCGTTTTAATAAAAATAAAATAATTTATTCTGAAATTCAAAATTTAATAAACAGAGAAACCAAATACTGGCAAGCTGTTATAGAAAGAATGTTCTACGTGATTCAGTGCCATTGTAGTTCAAACAGAGCTAACGGGTATTCTCATAGCAGCAAAAGAAATAACAAGAAACAATATCACTGGAAGGAACATGCGCATCTATACAGATAGCAGACAAACACTACTTACCCTAAACAGACCACGAATTTATTCAGGGTTACTAGTAGAATATCACGAAGCTTTGGCCGAAGTATCCACCAACAATGTGGTCACCTTAAGATGGATCAAAGGTCACGCCACATCAAAAGGTAACCATCTTGCCGATTCACTAGCCAAGAAAGCAGCAAACCAAATACTTTTTGGACCTGACCCTTCTATTGGCCTGACAAAATCGGTAGTGACAGACCTAATTAAAGAACATCCGCACTTTGCAGAGGATGCGAACAAGAAAATGAGTATATCTAGCATATCCTTTACGATTGCTCGATACTCTCATTTATTAGAAGATTTGTGTCCAGCGAGTATCGGCTAACACCGGTCGATATAAGAAAAGCACCTCTTGGCGACGTTGTCAACTACATTAAATCTGTAGGCTGGCTCTCGAGCTAGAAGGTGCCTATCATCTTAGGAGGATGCACAATGGGCCTAATGAGGCCTAAATTTCGTGGGGCTAACCCACCCTCCACACGCTACAGATACAGATACGTGATTCAGTTTTTAGGTGAGCAAAATTTAACTTTTCGTGGAAGTAGCAATAAGTTGTTTGGAAAAATAATGCAAAGAAATGATTTCCAAATTCGACAAAAACTATCTCTGGGATAAAATACAAAATGAAATGATCAACTTGATCGGTGAAAATATCAAATCCAAATTTTTAGAAAAAGGCAAAATATTATTCCATATTATTAGACTGCACTCCTGATTCTAGTCTCCAAAAACAAATTCCTGTTTGTAAAAGATTTGTTGACCTAACAAGCACGGGAATTAGTATAGAAGAACATCTTTTATTATTTTGTCCTAAAGATAATGTGTCGGGTGAAAGCCTGACAAAATTTCTTTTGTAAGCGTTAGAGAAAGAAGGCTTAAATATCAATTATTTGCGGGGTCAGGGTTACGAAAATGGGTCAAATATGCGTGGTAACCATAATGGTCTACAAAAAAATTTGGATTTGAATCCGCGAGCTTTCTTTGTTCCTTGTTGCAATCATAGCTTAAATTTAGTCGTCAACAATGCCGCCAAATCGAATACTTTGAGCATCAATTTTTTTTCTTTAGTTCAAAAACTGTATTTTTTTCGGTACCAGCTAAAAGAAATAGCTGCCGAAGATTTAATTAAACAATTTGCAAAACTTAAAGCACCAGAAGATCAATTCACTTTGCTAAAATATTAATAACAATACCTATTACCTGGATAATATATTAATCTTTAAAAGGTGACATGTTGCATTATTAAAATAATATTGTTCTGCTTTTTTTTTGTCGATCAGTTTCGTCCTGTGTTATATAGGCTGTTTCATTGGGAAAGAGCCCAAGTTTAACTGTAGATGGGTATCACTTTATTGTTTCCAAAAACCTATATTTAATGTGTCTTCTGTACTTTATAACCGAGATACAGGGTGTTTTATAAATTTACCCCGAGTTATCCTATTTCTTTCGGACCTCATAACTTCCGAGTTACCATGTATATTATTTTGAAATTTGGTACACGTAATAAACATTACCTAGAAATTCTATCAAAAGCATCTCCAAAAAGATAATACAGGTCTGGCTTAACAAAAAATTTCAAAACTCGTCTTTCCTAAAAACAAGACCCTGTATACAGATTTTTTTAAAATTGCTCTTTATAATTGGAAAAAATTAAAAAATTGAATCTACTTATTTCCTTTTTATTTTTCCGCAAGCAATTTTACTACAAAAAATGTACCGTCAAAATTATAATTTACGCACGTTTTGGGGGTTATCAATTGTATCGGAGAGGTTTTTTTTATTTTTTAGCTTAAAATGAAATCTATTTAATGCATCTAGAGAAGCATCCTAGAAATTCAATTGAGTTTGTATCTTTACGAGTACAGACCACTAAAAAATGTGATTACAGGGCAGTACTTAGGACATACTCATTAAATATGTTTCGAATATTTCGAATATCCTGTATAAGGATATGTATCTGGAAACTATGCACTTCTACATTTAGAATAACAGGAGTAAAATACGAGAAATAAATTTATACTTCAAAAAACGTTAAAAGTACTCGTATAAACTAAATAATACTTCAAGTAGGCTATGGGATAAACACATCATTGAAGTGTGTGTCATTTGTTTCTAGTTTCTGTCAAACAGCGTTTGATGTTTTGAACTTTCTACAGTATTTTCTTTTTGCCTAGTGAGTATTAAATCATTATGCCTTATCAATTTTCTAACCGAGAATATGCAGAAATTATATTTATTCAAGGATTTTGTAATGGTAATGGTACAGCTGCAAAAACTGAATACGGAAGAAGGTTCCCTGACCGAAGGTTACCAAACCATAAAATATTTATTCGTGTTTTTAATTACTTAGGAGAACACGGCAGATTTCCAAGGGTTACATTAAATGAACATCAGGAAAGAAGGCATTTAAATATGGAACAAAATATTTTGAATATTGTTAATAATAATCCGGAGATTAGTACAAGAAGAATTGGACATACTACAAATGTACCTCATGTTACTGTTTGGCGG